TTTCTTTAGAGACATGTCTTTAGTGTTCTTTAAAATGCTTATTTTTTATAGAACATATAGGTTAAATCTTAAAAACACTTAAAAAAAAACCTCAGATTATCTTACTATTTTGGGGTTTTGTAGGATTGTCTATTTCTTCTTATAAGTGCCATGGGGTCTTGCAAATCTTTGCTGTAATTTTTTTTCTATAGTAGTACTTGCTCCACAATATGACATATTTCTCTGGTCCAGTGTTAGCCATCTTATACAAGCTGAGTTGATTTCACTCTGAGTCTTAAAGTTTCTTTTATATTTGAGTTTCTTCCTGGTGTGATAAGGAGAACATACTTGGTCACAACGTGTGGTGGAAAAAGTTTGAAAGGGACTATACAATAAGGAGGGATCATGAATGTGACACATTTATTTAAATAATAAACATGGGACTAGAACAGGGGTGGGCAAACTTTTTGACTTGAGGGCCACAATGGGTTCTTAAACTGGACCGGAGGGCCGGAACAAAAGCATGGATGGAGTGTTTGTGTGAACTAATATAAATTCAAAGTAAACATCATTACATAAAAGGGTACGGTCTTTTTTTTTTTTAGTTTTATTTATTTCAAACGGGCCGGATACGGCCCGCCGCTTTTTTTTTTTTAGTTTTATTTATTTCAAACGGCCGCCAGCCGTAGTTTGCCCACGGCTGGACTAGAATGTGTAGTAGGAACTTTGCATGTAGGAACCAAAAGTTAACCTTCTGTATATGCTCAACATTTGTCAGATTCTTATTAGAATACTCTCTTCAGCTCTGAACTTGACAACTTAAGCAAGATGTGGAAACAATTGGCAAGGTTCGTAAGCGGGCAATAAAATTATATTAGAGAATGAAAAAACCTTTAAGAGAAGGTTGGAAGAATTGAAGTTTCCTAGGGAAGAGAGAGCTTAAAGCGTATGAAGAGCTGGATGGATGGCAACTCGGCATGTTGTCTGGCCAGGTGGTACAAAAAGGAATGTCCTAAATTTTTCTGGAAGGATTTATGGGCATATGAACTTTGCTCTCCATTGCAGGATGATTGAGAACACATTGTATGCACTCTCTCTTTCCTTGATCTTTTCTGATGTCACACTTTTCTGGTTCTCTGTCTACCATTTGAGACGTTTTTGTTTTGACTGCCTTTCTAGGAAGGGTCTCGCCTTGGCTCTCTGCCTTTCTGATCCTTCCTTTCCTCTTTTCCTCCTCCCCTATGGTGAAACCTTATGGCTTTTGCTTCTGCCTTTTTAAAAAAAATCTTAAATCCATGCTTTACACACAAGCAGCAGTGAGATCTCCCCAAAATGAAGTTCCCAGGTCACTTTCCTGCTCGGCATCCTTTAGCAGCCTTTTGTAACCTATAGCAGAGGTTTACAACCCGTCTCTCCAGGGGCTGGATCTGGGAGAGGAGTGACGTGTTCATAACCCCCTGGCTAGTGCATCCCTGCGGCAACTCCCCATGAAAGACGGTTACTGAGCCTGTGTTCCCCACCGAGTACGCCCGGAAACAAGGTGGAGAATACGGGCTGATAGAGCAAGGTCAGGCGCCTGAGGGAACTTGGTCCCCTGCCTCTGCAGCCCCACCCACCTCACCCTGCCCTAGACTGTGAGTTTGTTTTCCTTGCATCTTCTATTATACTTGGCTTGCAGGACTCAGGATTTGTTATTTTAATAACAAATCTGAAGAAAGGTGCTGGGAATATTTTGTGAGGATTGTTGCACTTACATTTTGAAGACAAAAGGAGGCTGGATTTCCTGATTTTTGGCCTGCAGTATTTCCAGAGGGATTTGCTATTTTAGTTTTAGGTTTGTCTGTATTGGGTATTGGTAACATAAAAACAGAAATCAAGATAAGTATATATTTATTGAATACTAGGGGATAAATTCATTAAGAGTAGTGATACTTCTCTATGGAGTCATAAAATGCTAGAGCCAGCAGGTCCTTAAAGGTTATCTTCCTCGATCTCTTATTATACAGATGAGAAGAAAACAGGTCTGAGAGGCTTGCCCAGGACACAGCAGACAGTGTGGTAGGTCCATCTAGATCAGTGGTTCCCCAACCTTTTTTGGCCATGCCCCACCTAAGCATCTCTAAAATCCTGATGCCCCCCCCCCCCACATGACATAGAATTCTTATTCAAAAAGTGAACTTCTATTCATGTGGAGGAAGCCTAAAAGGCTGTTAACTTGGTCTAAACAAGCTTCCAAAGAACATGGCATCCATGAAAGAGGAAAATAAAAGAACGAAAGGACAGCTGAAGTACGAGGAAGAAACCACTAAGAAAATGTTAAAAAAATAAGTGATATGAAAAAATAGCAAATAAAGTTTTCAAACATATAATGGAGAACTGAAATGTATAAATATGTCACAATATATTTATATACTGTATATGAAGCCCCTAGAACCATAAGATATGCAAAAAATTCACTGTTAATAACTCATTCTCGAATTGCTCCCCTTAAAAATCAAATTGCCCCCCCTGTGGGGCATGTGCCCCACGTTGGGAACTACTGATTTAGAGCCTGGCCCTGCTGCACTACACTCGTTCTCTTTTTATTGCAGGGGTTTTTGAAATGTGTGTGTGTGTGTGTGTGTGTTTACTTATTTTTTAAGTAGAGAAAGCCCTTTTCTTTTTATGTAAAGTATATCCATTTACCTTTTGTTTGAAATATTTCAAATTTACACAAAAACAGGAAACTAAGCTACTTGTTCAAGTAACTAATTGGTGTGTATATATATTTGTGTAGTATACTGTATATGTGTATATTTACATTATATCTAATATTTAAGTAAGGGGACTTAGATTATTGCGTGGAAGGATCTAGTTGTCTCAGCATTGGGCAGCTTAGATGAAAGTCACCACTCATCTCTAACAGGTAGCATGACCTTGGTATATTTATTTAACTTCTCGGGTTTAGTTCTCATTATGTTTATAAAGAGAAAGTTAAATTACTCCAAGATTTCTTATAACTTTCAAATAATACTGATTACCAACACTTGCACAGTGTTTACTGTCTACAAGTCGTGGTTTCAAGTACATATGCTCAGTACACACTCATGTAATCCTCACAACTACATGAGATATTGGTGCAGATACTCTATTGAGGAAACGGAGGCATGGAGGGTTAAGTAGCCCAAGTTGATGCCATTAGTAAAAGTGGAATCACATCGAACCCAGGGAGGCTGGCTCTAGGGCCCACAGGCATGACTCCTCTACTTCACTGTATGTTCTCTCTCTTAGTCTTGTTACTTCTTTGAATTAGATTTTATGAAAATGAACATTTAAGGAAGCCTCTCTTGTTTTTTTTAAGATAACAAAATATGAGTAACAAATGTTTAAATTATGAGGGAACCATTCTTAGTAAAATGATCTGTTCACTCGGGAAAATTAAGGTTACTAGATATTGATAGTAGTTCTTCTTACATATTCTGTGTGTTGTTTATTGACCAAAAGAGAATCTAAATCAAACTTAAGTAACTCCTAGGAGTCTCTAATTTTCACAGTTGTTATGGTTTTTATTGTTATTTATTAAATAGCTCATTTATTTATTTACTCATTTAAGAGAGAGGAAGGGAGAGGGAGAGAGAAAAATATTGATGTGAGAGAGATACATTGCTTGATTGCCTCCCCTATACACCCTGACCAGGGATCAAACCCACAACCTGGGTATGTGCCCTGACCAGGAATCAAACCCTTTGGTGCATGAGCCAACGCTCAACCAAGAGAGCCACATCACTTTTTAAAAATTAGTATTAACAAACAAGCTGGAAAACTATTTTTGACGTAGAATTTAACGAGAACACAATTCTGCACCATTCTGTTTTGGCAGACAGTCTTGGCTGCCATAGTTTAAGAGCCCAACCAGGCTGAGGGAAGGGATGCAGAACTCATACAAGAAAAATTTGGAAGACTTGGGTGTGCCCAGCCTGGAGAAGGAACAACAATCTCAAATATATGTAAAGCATTGTTTAAAAGAAGGATTCACTAAATAGTTAATAAAATTTTCATATAAACAGAGCAGAAAAGAGGTTGCCAGGGGCTAGAGGTGAGGGAAATAGGGAGAGGTTGATAAAAAGGTGCAAACTTTCAGCTATAAGACGAATAAAGTCTGAGGAGCTAAAGTATAACATGGTGACTACAGTTGATAACACTGTGTTGTATACTTGACATTTGCTAAGAGACTATAACTTACATGTTTTCACAAGAGTTTTATATATTTAAAATGGATATGATAACTGGATGAGGGGCATACTTTTACAATATATATGTATATCAAATCACCACAATGCACATTTTAAACATCTTATAATTTTATTTGTTAATTATGTCTCAGTAAAGCTGGGAAAAAAAGGATTGGACTCCACGGGATAGGACTGGACCAGTAGGTATGAGAGTTCCAGACCAGCTCAGCAGAAGCCAAGTGCAAAATTGTCTGGCTTATGCAGCTGTGGATTTCTTTCCCAGGAGGTTTTCAGGGAAAGGTTGGGTAACCCCTGGAAAAGGATATGCAAAGAGGTTCAGTCATAGTTGGGTTGAACCAGGTGAGGTCTCAGTTCCCCTTTCACAGTACCTGGCATATACTAGGCACTCAGCAAATAACTGGGGCAGGACAAATAGCTCATTATTTAAAACCAGTTTGACTCTTAAAGAGAACTTACTTGATTTCTGTCCTGATCACAAGGAAAGACTGAGAGGGAATATGTACCATTACTTAACTGTAGGTTTGCTTGCTAATTCCTCTTATATACCATAGGGCTTCACAGATTGTGTTGAGCTCTTCAGAACTTTTAAAAATAATATGTGAATGTGATTTCAGATTGTGTGTGTGGGGGTTGGGGCTTGTCCCTAATTTCCATTATTATTCAGAATAAAGTCTTAATTATGGATGCTAATGCTGATCTAAAATGTAGAAATAATTAACTTTAATTCAAACCCACTTTGAATTGTGTTTAATGTAGAGCAGAGTAAGTTCAATTCTGTTGCTTTTGTAGGTGCATGTGAGGGAACCTTGGCTTGCTCTACCTGCCACCTCATCTTTGAAAAGCATATATACGAGAAATTGGAAGCAATCACTGATGAGGAGAATGACATGCTTGATCTGGCGTACGGGCTAACAGATAGGTAAGATTTAGGGCCACTTCAGTTGTACTGATAGTCTGGGAAAATAAAGGTTTTACTCGTTCATGTCTGTGTAAGGCCAGACCTGTGTGTGTAATAGTGATCTTTCTGCGTAGATAACAGTTAAAAACTTTGAATATAAAATGTGACATTTCTCTTTGTTTCCACTATTCCACAGTTTAGCTCTTACGAAACTTTTCTTTTTTATAAAAGGAAAAAAATAAAACTTATTTAGTCTATTTTTATTCCAGGGATTACTATTTGCCACAGTTTAGCGAATTGGGATTACATTTAATGCTTTTTATGGTATCATCGAAGGATAGATTTGATAATTGAATGAAATTATAATGGAAAGTTTTACCTACTTGAGAACAGAATTTTTAAAGATACTTAATATATAATAGTAATTATGTTAAGATGAAGTTCTACTTCTAAGTGTACATTAAACTACATCAGTCAGGTTATTCTTGTTATTAATTAATAGGTAGAATTACTCTTAAAATTGGTAACATCTAAAGTAGCAAGTGAGTGGTATCAAGTGATGCCTTATTCTTTTTTAAAAAAATCTTTATTGTTGAAAGTATTACAAATGTCCCTCCCCCCCCCATTGACCCCTTCTAGCCCACACCCACCAGGCCTTCACCACCCTATTGTCTGTGTCCATGGGTTATGCATATATACATACAAGTTCTTTGGTTAATCTCTACCCTTCCACCCACCCACCCCCACCTTCCCTCTGAGATTCGACAGTCTGTTCCATGCTTCTTTGTCTCTGGATCTGTTTTGTTCAACAGTTTATTTTGTTTATTAGATTCCACATATGAGTGAGATCATGTGATACTTGTCTTTCTCTGACTGTGATGCCTTATTCTTAAACATTACCTGATATTTTGGTTGGAGCCAGGAAAAGTAGCTAGTTGATTTACTGTGTAAGGGGCAAAATAATGAGGGCTTATGTGATGTTGACTTTGGTGTTTACCTATAATTTGGTGACCCTAATGTAAAATAATAATAAAAAATTAAAAATAATAGTAATAATAATAGCTTTATTTCAGGTGTATTATGTAACTACAGTTTTGTTAGAGTCTTAGCAAACTTTCTTATCTAAAAACATAAATTTTCTTATCCTCACAAAAATGTTTAGAGCACATTCTAAACCCCATCTCCCCTGAACAGATGGAAGTACTTTCTCCTCACACCTTTTGGCTTTTACTCTCTATGGCATTTGCCACAAGCTCATATGTTATACTAGTAGCCCTGCCCACAAATCCGTGCACCAGTAGCTCGCTGCCCCGCCCCCCATAGCTTGCTGCCCTGCCCTCTCCTGTAGCTCTCCACTGCCCGCTTGTAGCTCGCTGCCCCACCCTCCTGCTGATCTGTGATCCGGTCGTTACACGGTCAGTCGTTACGTAACGACCATTTCCATATTACATCTTTATTATATAGGATTATCTGCAAATATGCCTCATCTCTTTTATTTGATTGAAAGTTCACAATTACCATGTTTCTCTTTTATTAGTGTAGATTATCTGCAAATATGCCTCATCTCTTCTATTTGATTGAAAGTTCATTCCTTAATACTGATATTAGCAACTAATCCTCCACATAGTCCAGTGAGGAGCCTGTTTATTATCCATCTTTAGGATGAGATTAGGAAATGAGTGTTTGGGGAGGGGCATTAAGAAAGTGTACACGCCACGTTCAGGCTAGATTCTGGACCACTGGTCTGTTTGGCTCTCAGGTTCTAACCCACTGCTGCCTCCTATTGCATCCCTGGTCCTGGGCGCCCAGCGTGTAAGAGGTGTTCAAACTATTGAAGTGAGTTGCTGCTCTTTGTACCCCCACTGATATTTAGTGCTGTGCCTTGAGATGCTCTGTGAGTGTCTGATGAATGTGCTAATGAAACCAAGACTTCCACATCACATTCCATCAAATTGAAGACAATTGGATTGTAAGACTGGCATTTATTTTTGTTTGCCACTAAGAAAGAAAAGAGCACTGCTAGTAAAAATATGGCACAAAATTATCACTTAACCTATTTTGTGCATAGTAAAATAGCTATTTTGAATTACCTAGACATACATTTGTACATCATTGTTAAAAAAGGAAAATATAAATAAAATTGGTAGTAATTCTGAAAAAGGGAAGAAAATGGGACTATAATTATTCTTCCAATGACAAATAATTGCTTTATGAATATCAATTTACACATTTATGAATATCAAATTTACATTCCGCTGTGTTTCTGTATTAATTCTTTCTTCTGTAATCCTTTTGCACTTATTTCCGGAGGTCCCCATGGGAGGAGGAGATATTGTAGAAAGCTTTATTTTTGTGGAATTGCACCCCTGAGTTTCCAAGGTCCCATTTCCCTTTGTCCTGCCAGGAAAAAAGTCCCATTTCATTTTCAGCAAGGCTAAGTTCAAAGCCAGTGTCGAGTTTTTGTTTCATGTTGGAGCAGTGTCCAGTCCAGCATCGGGCTAGCTTAGTTGGTGTTTCTAGCTGCAGTCCATTAGTTCTTTGCATGTGGGGTCTTCAGGGCCACATGGCTATGGAGGGAACACAGGTGAAAGAGACTCCTTTGTCTGCGAGATTATGTATTCCCAAATTTTTGTGGGTTTGCATTGGCCCTGCCCCCTTTAGCTAATGATCTCTGTTCTCAGGTTTGACTGACAGGCATCTTCCCTATATCATCCGGACTCACTGCATGCACCCATCTTCCCTTTATCCAGTCCCTTCCCCCAGTGATCTGCAGGGGATGGGCTGGTGGTTCCCTGGGGAGTGTGAAATTGCAGCTTCCTGGTGAAGCTGCCCAGATGACATGCCTATAATGTTTGACCTCCCCTTTGCTCCTTTCCTGTCATTAATAACTAGCTAATCACAATGGTATAATTTTGACTGGTAGTTAAATTCAACATATGTAGTAGTAACATACTTCTTGTAACTCATTTGAAGAGGCACCTATATGAATATTGTGACCAAGTTTGCAGCACTGATGTGACTGCCACCTCCCAGTGTAGCAGTGATTGTTAGATGCCTTTAATTTTAAGATTTAACTGGATTTTAGAGATGTTAAAAATGTGGGGAAAATATATATTTGATAATTGATGACTTATATGTGTGTTTATTCCAAATTTCTTGTTTTAAAGACTTTCTTTATAGTCTGTGTATGGTTTTAATTATCTGGGAATTGATTAATCATTTTCTTGGCATTGCTAAAATCTCAGTTCTCTTCTCCACTGTTGTGCCTTCTGATTATTTCATTGCTTGTCAGTCCTTTCACCAAAAAGCAGTAGTACTGGTGAAACAATTAGTAGATGATGGAGACTAAAGACTAAAATGAAGCCATGGTCCACTAGGCTTTTAGTTTTTTATGATCACATTTTGTTACCTTCTAGTTGAGAGTTGAATATGTTTTTCAACTTAAAAGAAATGTAAAAGTTAAATAAATTCTTAACTTTTTTTGAGTAAGAAAATGTTCTATACAACTGCATTGTTTTATGAATAACACCTACTTAATACTAAACCATACCTCCCCCTTTTTTATACGGAGAATGACATGCTTGATCTGGCGTACGGGCTAACAGGTAGATCTCGGTTGGGCTGCCAAATCTGTTTGACAAAGTCTATGGACAATATGACTGTTCAAGTACCAGATGCCATGTCTGATGCCAGACAATCCATCGATATGGGCAAGAACTCCTAAGATAGAATAAATGGGAATATTTTCACAAAATGTTAACCTATTTTTATAATTATTATTTCTTAATTAAATGAGAGCATGGATGAATGAGTTTACTATGATGACCTGCTTTACTACTTTAATTCACCTTGTATAATTACTGAATTTTGTAGTCCGAAAGTATGCAATCTTTATTTTGTTTAAATTATAAAAAGCAAATCAAATATTAGAAAACATATGATAAAATGGCACATATTTTACCTTATGTTTGTTTAGCAACTTTAGCAAAATGTTTTCATATAATTTCTATGCCTATTTGCCTATAAAGTAGGTTTAAAAAGGCACTATCCCTGTGAGATGCGGGTGAAGGCAGAGATCCAAGAGTGAATTAGAAAATCTGTACCAGAATTCACATCCTGTTACTATAAATTTTACAAATTTAATGTTTAGATTGAAACTGGAGAAATTATGAATATCTTATTTATAGTGGTAATTAGTGTGAATGTGAATGGAAAAAAACTGTTGCTTCATTCACTGATTAATTTCAAAGACAGTTGTAACCTTATAAATAAATATTTCAAAATTTTATTCAGTGAAAAGTGTAAGTCTGAGCATAGGCAATGTAACCCTGTCAAATATCTTGGGTCTCAACCTTTTAAGAAGGGCTAGGTTTTACTGTTGTATTGTGTTTTGAAAGAAGTTGGGACTAAACTGGAGGAATGAACAAAAAATTAGGTGTCTTTATTCTTTTCTGTCCTAAGCAGAATGGTGTGTCTTTATAATATTTAAAAAATGATGCTGATCTATAAACCTCTGCCTGTAACAAAATAGAGATCTTCTGGGTTAGGTTTTCTCTGTCCTGAGCCACCGAAGGAAATGAGCAGACTCACACACTGCACAGCTGGGCAGGGGCGCGCCCCTTCCACCAGGACGGAGCTGCGCGGTGTGAGTGAGCTCGGCAGCGTGCACCGTCCCGGAGATGCAGGGAATGGCTCGATCACCACAGATGACCAGTTACGCATAGCAAGCATTTATATCTTTATCTTTACTCCAAGTACCCTGGTAAATGATATAAAAGGGTTTGCAGTATCTCTTGTAAATATAATAAAACATCAACTAGCTTGAACTAATCACGGGGAAGGGCAGAACAAATAAAAGGAAAAAGTGAACTACAAGACCCTTGAGTTAGCTTCAGGCACATCTGTGCAGTTTGATCATTTGCACAGATATTTGTTAAGTGCAGTAATTGACAACATTTTGTTGTGTCCATTGGGGAATACAGAGGTGAAAAAGATAAGGATGCCCTCAGGAGCTCACCTTTTATTAGGAAAAGATAAAATACATGGATGCACAAATAATTTGCTTGAACTTAGCCAACCATATTTGTCAAATAGAATACTTAAAGCTAACACGTAAAAAATTATTAGGAAGAATTTAGGGGAATGTTCATTTGACATTTTATAACTATCGAGTGTCTTCTATGTGGAGAGCACTTTATGAAGTACTTGAAAATAATTTGTTAATTAGCTTCAGTATTCCCCTTTCATTCTTTCGTGGATTACCTAAACTTTCCTTCCCAGAACTCTTAATGATGACATTCACCCTAAACACTAAAATTTAGATTCTAATTTTCTCAGATTTCAAAATATAAAAATTTATACTAATGAAGTTTAATTGTATCACTTAAATAAAACCTACCAAACTTATTAAATGGAGGATATATCCTAAATTGGTTGGTATAAAGATTATTGTTTTCAGTTTGAAAAACAATTCTTTCATGTTTAATAGTGTGTGCATTCAGGTAACTGTTAGTTGTCTATTACTGCAAAACAAATTGCCCCAAAACTTAGTGGCTTACGACAACAATGATCTCCATTTGTATGGGCAGGAATTCACAGTGCAGAGCAGGATGGCTCATCACTGCTTCACAATGTCCGTAGCCTAAGCTGGAAGACAGAGAGGCCGGTGCTGCAGCCATCTGCAGACTGATGATCCCCTCACGTGACTGCACGTGGATGCTGGTGTCAGCTAGGGATCTAGTAGAGGCTCTTGACTGGAACACCCACACGTGGCCTCTCTGTGTGGCCTGGGCGTCCTCACAACGATGACTGGGTTCGAAGAGCCAGCACCATGAGAAAGCTTGCATTCCAGGCAGAAGCAGTATCTTTTTTTTTTTTTAATATGTTTTTATTGATTTTAGAGAGAGGAAGGGAGAGCGAGAGAGGGAAAGAAACACTGATGTGAGAGAGATACATTGATCACTTGCCTCCCATTGAGCCCGCAACCTGGGAATGTCCTGACCGGGAATCGAACCGGTGACCTTTCAGCGCATGGGATGAGGCTCAACCAACTGAGCAACACTGCCCAGGGCAGAAGTGCTGTCCTTTTAATGACTTAGTCATGGAAGCTACACAGTCTCACTTCTGACTTTTTTTTTTTTTCTAGAAGTGAGGCACTAAGCCTAGCCCATCATTTGAATTGTATGTCAAAGAATTCGCATACAATTCAGGGGTTCTCAACCTTCTGGCCTTTAAATACAGTTCCTCATGTTGTGACCCAACCATAAAATTATTTTCGTTGCTACTTCATAACTGTAATGTTGCTACTGTTATGAAGTGTAATGTAAATATCTGATATGCAGGATGGTCTTAGGCGACCCCTGTGAAAGGGTCGTTTGACCACCAAAGGGGTCGCAACCCACAGGTTGAGAACCGCTGGCATACATGTTTTAAAGCCACCACAGTAACCATTATTTTTAGGTTAACTTACATTATTGCCTTTGAAATTGGCCTTTTAACTAACAGTGTTCTAAACGTTTTTAAAAAGGGCTAGATTTTACTGTTATATTGTGTTTTGAAAGATTCTTGTGTCTTTATTATGATGGTTTGTTTTATTCTGTAACTCCCCACGGTTTTCTTGACAGTTGATTTAACGATTGGCTCTCATTCAATGCTGTGTAATTTTAGTTTACATTTCATGTCATTTTACCATCAAGAAAGGTATCTTCCTTTGGTGTAATACTTTATATAATGGTTGGTTACGTGCTAATACTTAATATTTTATGTGGTTTTCTCAGATAAAACCAACCTGTAATCACATAAGTAACTCAGAACTGCTTGGTTAGTTTTTTAAGTGAGCCATTCTAAGAATTTCCAAAACCTTTGCCTAACTTTCACTGTGAAAATATTACCTAATTTTTGTCTTAAAGGACACGTTTCCTTTTTCTTTATAACTAATTAAGGATCTTGTGGAAATTCATGTGGTTTCTATCATGGTCACTCGGCATTTATTAGAACTATGACATTTCAATTGAAAGATTGTTTTCTAAGGGAAACGTACATTCATTATATGTTTTCCCATATTTTCTTTTTCTTCCTTTTTATATACTACAACTCTTCTGATTGCTTTTCCTCCCTGACACTACCTGAAGTATTGTGGTTAACCACATTTTGTAAAAGGTGGAAGATTTCTACATTCTGAAGAATAAGGTAAACTACATTTTAGATCAAAATTAGTTAGATGGCTTTCTTATTTATAGGGTAACTTATAACTCAATGAAATAAAAAATAGTAATGTGTTTTATGGACATTTAAAATAGTATATGAAACCTATTCTAAGTATAAGCCATTCAGAGACATTCAAACATTACATATCAACTTTGTTGCCTATTACAGACATATTTAAGAATAGAAATAATGTCCTGGTTAGGCAACCAAAGGATTCCTTTAATGTGTCAACACTTCGCATGATATCAAGTTATTTTTATCAGATTTTTTTCTGTTTATAAGTTTTTAGAAACTGAAAAATTAGGAAACCAGCTGGAGGTGGAAGGCGTGGTCACTTGCAGACAAGTAAATGTGGGCTGTACCAGAACAGAAACAGGGAGCTAAAAGGTAATCTGAACCTCCCAGAAGCACCTTAGGAGGCAAGTGGACAGCAAAGATCTTCAGAGTGAGTGGCGTAACTTCTGCAAAAACTGTTAGCAATAAACCATCTAATCAATGTCTTCTCTCTCTTTTTGACTCCCATTTGTTCATCTTATTATCTGGATGTATTCTTTGTCATTTTATTTTTAGGCTTGAGTATTGTAAAATGAAGTGGGGCCATTGTGCCGTTCCGGCTCCTTTTGTCTACTAGTCATTTCTGTAACCATCAACACTCAGCCTGACTTACCCAGTGGCCTTTACCATCCCTCACCTGTGCCCGTGCTCTGCCTCAGACAGCCCTTTTCTAGCATTTACTACATGTGTTACATAACACCGCACAAAGCAAAACTCACTGTATTTTCTCCCTGATAGATTAAGCTTTCTAAGAGTGAGGACTGGGCCCTAGCTGGTTTGGCTCAATGGATAGAGCGTCGGTCTGCGAACTGAAAGGTCCCAGGTTCGATTCCGGTCAAGGGCACATACTCAGGTTGTGGGCTCAATCCCCAGTACGGGGCTTGCAGGAGGCAGCCAATCAATGATTCTCTCTCATCATTGATGTTTCTATCTCTCCTGCTCCCTTCCTCTCTGAAATCAATAAAAATATATTTTTAAAAAATGTGATGAGTGGGTTGTGTTCAACTTTGTAACTGCAGCGTCTGTCATAGTATTTAGCCCACAGTAGGTACACAATATATATATGAATTAATCAAAACTTGGTCTTATAAGAAATGTGCATCTAGCATCCTGCCCTGTGGCAGTCACCTGTTGTGGATGAGAATACTTAAGCTCAGTATAGGCCTCTCTACTGAGCCTGTATCCTAACCCCAACGTGACTGGAGTCAGGATACATGGGAGATCAGGTAGTTTACACTATAATAAAAAGGACTATGTTCAACTTGTCATAATTTTTTAAACATGTCTTGGATGAAACAGCTTTTGAATGGGCTGAATGCAGGTCCCTCTGCTGGTCTTAGATCTTGTAGGTCATTGATTCTTGAAATCTGAGTGTTGAGGTCCTGTGGGTGGGTCAGTGACTCCATCCCCTTGAACCATGGGACACTGCTTTGACCGTGATAAATGGGTGCTCCTTCATCTTGGAAGTGTCTGACATCGGGTATTTCAGATAGCCCCCCGCCATTTCTCCTCAGCATAAGGCTTCCTATTGGTCCTGATGAGGATTCTTCAAAGTGGTGGAAAAGGGAAGGTAGTTTACATAATATTCCCAAACCAACAGGCCAAAGACAAATATTGAGACACTCAACTTAGTTTTGTTTTAATGTTCTCTCTCCAATAGAGTCTTATTTTGTTAACTGAAGTCCAAAGATTGAATGAGCCTCACTGAGACAGCAGAGTAAGCTCTCTTCTGAGGCTTGGGGGAGGGGAAAACAATTTGTTGTTTGAAGACCTGGGTACCAGACAATGAGCTAAACTTGGAAATAAAGCAAAAAGATTACTGCTGGTCCCTTCGGAGTTGTACTTAGAGTCTTGGCCAGCTTGGCTCAGTGGTTGAGCGTTGACCCATCCACCAAGAGGTCACAGGTTGGATTCCAGGTCTGGGCACATGCCCTGGTTTGGGGTTCGATCCCCATTAGGGGGCATGCAGGATGCAGCTGATCGATGTTTCTCACATTGATGATTCTTTCCCTCTTCCTGTCTCTAAAATTGGAGAGGACAAAGGGAGGATGGCCCCAGGAAGCTGACTTTCCTGTTTTTCTTTCCTCCACCAGGGGTTAAACATTTGTCTAACATACCAGTTCTCAGCCGACTGGCTGGCTGCATTTGTGCAGTAATCACACACAGGCTCGTAGCTCTTCCACAGTCCCAGTGAAACCCGGCCTTCGGGGCCAGAGCCTCATCTTGATACATCTTGATACGACTAACGTGCACACTTCAAGATGTCCATCACCAAGCCCAGAATTCGCGCCAAGCGGCAGGATAACTTATTTCAAGGCCTTAGATTATGAAACCACCTGTTGGCACTCATGTCTCTGTTATTACACAACTTTTTTTTATGCCACAAGTCCAGTGCTGTGGACTGACTACGGCCTCCAAAAGTTATTTGGAGAGAGAGCAAAGGAAAAACTAAACAGGAAACAAGTAAGCCAACAGTCATCACCTAATGCAACTGCACAGAAAAGTTGAAAATATTTTAAGTGTTTTCAAAATGTTTGTAGATATCAAAGAGCCAAACCATCTGGGTGAAGCATTCCATTAGTCTTATTTTTTGGTAGGGGCATTAATTTTGAACTGGAAAAAGCTCATCCCTGCCCAAGTTAACATACTTTGCACTTAACACCTCATTCAGAACTCCCAAGCACGTTAAGTTGTAATTAGCAATAAAACTTAGAAGTGCGTAGCTATTAATATTTGTGTTTTAAACATTTGTCCATGAGGCTTGAAAAGGAGAGAAATCCCTCCATCTCCCCGGGCACTCACAGGTCCTGCTGAGATACTATTCTATTCTAGCTCCTCTCCTGCCCCTCCCACTCCCCTTTCACGCCTTTTTATATTGACCCAGCTCCTTGAGCCCTTTGATCCGCCTACCCCCACTTTTTATATTGACCCAGCTCCTTGAGCCCTTTGATCCGATTCTCCAGTGGTCCGCCTACCCCCATTCCTCATCTGACCCACCCTCCTCCCTTCTGTAGTGTAGTGCCTATTATGTCCTCCTTTCCAAGGTATCGTTCCCCTCCAACTAAGCATTAGCACCGAGTAATCACCAGGAGAGCTCACTAGGACTCACTAGGACTCGAGAGGACTTCTCAATGTGGTCACTTATAAACCTGGACTGGAGATGAGAGACTATGATTTTGAATAAGGAGGAGACATCCAGGATGTGTAGGGCCAGTCTCTGAAGACTCGGGAGTCAGCTGTACGGCCCCGTGATAGGACTGACAAATGAGACCAGGCCCCATCTAGGATGAGGAGGGAGACAGGAGGGGGGCAGCTGCTGCTATGTCATTCCAGCCAGCTGCCAAATAGGAAGGCAGGCCAGTATTTTCAGATGACTGTATGCTTTTCAAGAGGAGTAAAGACCCAAATGTTTCTGAGAAATATGGTTGTTATATGATTGCAAAGATTTTAAGTTGTTTTAGTTTGTTAACATATGGGGTGAGTTAAACAGCCAAGAGCAGATAGAGTGGGCTGCCACCTTGCAACCTCTGGTTTAGAGAACCCCTGGGGCAGTTGAGTCCTATTTATTAGGACTTTCATTATGCTCAGAAGCCTCTGCAATGTCAACATGGCTCTCTTTGAGCGAATTTGATTTTGAAGGAACCTCAAAACCAGAGATTCACCTGCGAAGAGATTCTCTGGTCTTAGGAGCCTGGCCTGACCTGGGGTGACCATGGATTGGAGTATAACATAGCCCCTCTAGGCTATCTGCCTGATTCTAGGCTACACGGGTTTCTGACAGGTCTGTATTCTCTCTGGTCACCATGTAAAAAGGGCAGGTGTGCCATCCAAGATTTTGCCAAGTCTTGCTTTAATAGACCTAAGATACCTTTAATAAGCCTGGATTAAAAGTATCCTACATTAGGGGGACTGATTGAGAGCAAAGTGGGTCATTTCACATTCCTCAAGTGCAGTCCAAGTGCCTCCATACAGAATGTAAGCGACCTTGAGCCTCAGACATGAGGTTCGGGTAACAGAACCCCTGCAGTCCCTGTGTGCGCCGTGCACTTTCATAACCGCATGTGCTTAGACTGATCCCTGGAGCACCCTCCTGCCCCTTCTGGGCCTTTTTTTTTTTAAAATTTATCTTCATTGTTGGAAGTATTACAGATGTCCTCTTTTTCCCCCCATAGATCCTTCCACCCTGCACCCGCCCTTCTTGCCCCTCCCCCCAGGCCTTCATCACCCTGTTGTCTTGTGTCCATGGGTTATGCATATATGCGTACAAGTTCTTTGGTTAATCTCTACCCACCCATCCACCTCTGCCTTCCCTCTGAGATTCATCAGTCTCTTTTTCGATGCTTCCATGTCTCTGGATCTATTTTGTTCATCAGGTTCCACATATGAGTGAGATCATGTGATACTTGTCTTTCTCTGACAGGCTTGTTTAGGGTTAACTCTTGATGTTCTTTAATATATCTTCTGGGAAGTCTTCTTCGAACTCTCAGCTGGTGCTAAATGTCCCCATTGTAGACCCTCACGATACAGTTTCTTAGCATTTCCCATGTTAGTGTATTGAGATTGGCTGTTGTTTGTCTCTGCCACTAAGCTGTAAGCACGTCCTGGGAATCATACTGCCCAGTCTGGTGCCTGACACACCAGCCAGTCAACAGATGCTGGTACTAAGATGTTGGAAAGCAGGGAGTGGGTGCCTTCATGCTTGAGGAACAAGCCATGTGAACACTAAAAACAGCAACCAAAGGTAACTGTATAAAGTCCTAAATATCCCAAACTCAGGAAACTGGTTTCCTGAGAGGCCCCAGTAACAGCTAATTTTTTTCTTTTCTTTTTTATATTTTGGGAGGACAGAGACTTCTGATCGGATATGTGTGACCTTGGAGAAAGAAGCAAGGGAGGCTGGGAGATAATATCCATTTATTCATTTAATGACTATTTATTGAATATCTACTAGGTGCTGGGGACTCAGCAAGGACTAAACAAAACACGTAACTCCCTGCCCTTACAGCTTACTTCCCAGTGGTAACAGAAAGCACATGGAAACGTAGGGTGTTTTCAGTGGTGACAGTGCTTTGGAGAGCCGTGGAGCAGAGGGGGGAGGGGTGTGGGGAGAGTGAGGAGCTGCACTTTCAGTAGGGTTGTCTCTGAGGTGGAGAGGTTCTGGGTGGAAGGCCCAGGGAGCGGGCTGGGGTCAGAGGGCTAGGAGGGCGGCGGAAGTCAGTGAGTGGAGAGGAATTCCCAGATGGTGCAGGTCCTGTAGGCGCAGCAAGGACTTGGCTTTGCTCTCAGGGATGGAAGCTGCTCGAGGGTTTGAGAAAAGCAGTGCAATGCTCTGACCTATGTGCACAGCTCGCCGCACTAGGTGCTCACATCAACTACTTCATTCAGTCTTACAAAATCCCCTGCAAGGTGTGTGCTGTTCCCACAGGTGAGCACTACACGGCCTTCTCCAAGATCA